TAGCGGTAGCGGGTATTTTTCCTTAGGATGAAGCACAGTAGATATGTTCCTTACGCTATGGCCTATTTCTTCCAAACCCATTTTGATTGCGCTTATAGAAGTAGTTGGATGGAGCCCTCTTAATACGACTCTGTATGCTTTTTCCTGTCTCAGTTGGTAACAATGGAAATCGTGTTTTCGTGAAGTAAAATGTTCAATTAATATTTTGTAATTTTCTTTAGAGTTGGTATTTATTTTAATATCATTAACTCTGGAAAAACGTGTAAAATTTGGCTGCCCAATCAGATCAGCGATTTCTTGTCCGAAGGGCATAAAATTTTCAATTTTTGCGACGAAGATGGGTGGCGGTTCAAGATCACAAGTTTCTTTGGGCTCCAGAATCTTGTTTGTAGTATTGTTGGCTGTAACAGAGTTACTGATTGAGGTGTTTGGTGAAATTGATTCTGATTTGATGGCTGAAGTGATTTTGCTACGCGTGTTTGGTGTATTTTTGTTTGTTTCAGATGCCTTTTTTAATTTGGCAGATTTATTTTTTTTCTTATTTGGTGAGTTGCCCGCTGAACCGGGGGCAGAGTTTCAATTGCGCTTTTGAAGAGTCCTTCTTTTTAAATATTGTGAATCGGTCTCACTGACTTCGGAAAATGGTGTCTCTTCCTCCGATTCTTCACCAGACGTATTGTCAGGTTCCATAATGAGAGAGAAAAAAAAAATCTGTACCTGTTATAACACTAAAAAAAAAAAAAAAATAACGAAATAAATTCTTAAAACTAAGCTATTTACATTATTTACAATTAAAGTAAGAAAAAATCGTAATAAACATAATTAAACCAAAGTAAAAGTCTTAGAGTAAAATAAACTAATAAAATAAAGAGAGAAGAAAAGAGAAAAAAAAAAAAATAGTTTATCAGTTTGGATACGAACTCGATATCACTCGAAGGAAGTAGTGTTAGTAAATAGAGCCTTGGCCGTGTATCTTAGTAGATAGGGCAAGATCCGTTAAGGGAATTACCGATCAGCTGTGCTGTCTCTACCGAACTAGTATCAATTAAATATTAAACATAATTGTTAATAAATATCTCTCACCTCACTATTTAATGTGAAAATGTTTAAATGTACAAAAGCTCATTGTTCACAAATTATAGCAGCAGTATTTGCAGAATTAGCCAGTTGAGAAGGAGACAAAGACAGAGCGATGCAAGCACTAAACTGTAGTTGCGGCCATTTTTCTACAACTAGAGTAATTCTGAATTTATTTTTTTCATTCGTCTACAACAGGAGGTAAGCTAAGCTCTAAGTTTTCCAGTCTGTCTAAAATGATTATATTAATTGTAACTAGTTTTTTGAAATATTTTTTATCTCAATTTCTGGCTTTATAATTCCGGTAAATATGATAGGAATGATTTATTTAATTTAGTATATATTCATTTTGGCAATACAACAGTTATCCACTTCAAATCGGTTACTTGTTTTTATTATTTACTTTATTGTTGTTTTATTATTTTTATATAGTTATAATTTTCATTCATTATTATTTTTATTTTCCATACTTCTAATTGTGTTTATTGATTACTTTTATAGTTTTCTTTACATAATATACCTCTAGGTATAGACTAGAGTAGAGGCTTTTACGGCACATTAATTTTAAATAAACGGTAAATGAGGTTAAAAATAATTCTATAAAAAGCAATATACAACTTTTTTTTTCTATTATATGTTGAACCATGGAATAAATAGAAAAAAATCATAAATTATAAAATATAAAAATAAATAGAGATAATAACTTTATTTTCATAAAAGGGTGCTCAAATATAATGGGTGCTCAAATATACATACGCAACGTACTTATTAATCAATACAATGGACAATTCTTAAAACTAATATACAAGTATATAGTATCAGCAATTGTATGTGCGTAGTAATTTTTTTTATGTATATTTTCTCACTATTTCCTTTCTTTTCCTTCTCTCCCCTTATACATTTCTGTTATTCGTCCTCATATTTCCCCTCTCTCTTCCTAACCTAATTCATACTTTTACACAACAAATTATCCAATAATGGCAAGAAAAAAAAATAGCCGGCAATAAACCTCATTTTCGGTGTTAATAGATTATTCTACTAGTAGATTATTTACTAACATAACAAAAAAAAAGAAATTAATTTTCTTACTGAATTTAAATAAACGCTAAAATTAAACCTTGAAAAGATTGGTAGTATCTCCGCATAACGTGTTTAATAGAATCATGTCTCGATTGACAGAGAGGTAATTTATTATTTAGCTTTGGAACTGCAATATAAAGAATGCTGACCGACGGAACCACTTCATTCATTATTCAGTTCTTGAAGACAAAACGTCTTTAAAATATCTCGTAAAATGGTGACAGAACATTCTTAATCTCGCCATTAAGCAATCCCATCTGCGTGATCAGTTACTATAAATTGTACTCTTCAATATTATTTATTTTCTTAAGTCGGCGCCTCACGGAATATTTCTGTTGAAACAAATTATCAATTCGATGAAAGCTTACACGTTAAAAAGTCATTTTATAATAATTTTATATATTATATCTTCTACCTTCAATAAAATCGTATACAAATAAATTTTGTATAAGTGAAAAGATTTATTATTGTTTTTAACCAGTCAATAATATATATATATATATATATATATATATATATATATATTTTTTTTTTAAATGATTGGTCCCCTTTACTGTCTTTTATAAATTCTTTATTACTTTATGACTTTTCCAGTAGTTCATCGAGCAAATAGGTGCAAGAATATAGGTTGTTCGATTTTCCTTGATAACGACCTAAATTTAGTTTTCTATTATTGCTGAAGCAACAGGCTTCTAGACCATTTTCTTTTCAAACAGAGAGGATGAAAATGATAATACGAGTGTGTTTGGGGGAATTATGACTTGAAGAGTGAAATGTAGTTTATCTTTCCTGGATTTTAGGATTTTCCAGATTTAGGAATTTTTGATTCATTATGTGTGTATTAACAATTTTTCATAATTTTTTTTATTGAATTGTTTATGTTTTGTTTATGGTATCTAGGTATTCTACAGGAGAGAATATACAAGTTACCAGAAGGCCTCGACAGTGCGTGTTCAGTATTAGGATGACCTCAAGTGATAGGCGGATCAGCACCTAATCAGTCTCGGTCTGCGGTGTAAGAGATCAAGCTTGCACTCTGCAAGGATGGTAACCACAACCAGAGGGAACAATCTCCGGACTTGCTTGAGGATGAAATACTGACGGAGGGATCAATCTTCTGACTTAGTATATAGAAATACAAGAGGACGGATCAGCGCCTAAACTTGCTTGGAGTAAGGGTAGAGGATAAAGGTTTTGGGATACTGTGAAATAAAAAACACTTTGTTGAAGACCAAAAGGAGTATCTTATTCATATACTGACCAACTGCGTGAATGTCTACACCCTAAAGGGTTGGAGATCCTTAGACATAACAATTCGAGCAAGAACTGCAGTATTCATTCCGCCAAGAGAACCGGCTATCAAGAGCCGTTACAATTACAGTACTTTTAAGCTTTGATCAGTATATGTTATCGCTATTAAACTTTATTGATTAAATGTATTTACAATGTGTTAACATATTAAAATTTACAATTTGAGTTATTTAGCATATAACAATAAGAAATAAAAATGCAATTTTTAGTATGTTGCACGGGCGAGCTTGTATGGCGCTGCCTGGTAGTGGGTAGGCGAACTAGTTGTCCCCTGCAGGAAGAGGCGGGAATCAGTTGCCGATACAATGGGTACTTGTTTTGCTGCACCTCAAACATCTGCTCCCTATGACGTATCGTCTTGTCAGATCTTATCTTTTTGATTTTGTATGTATTTTGCAACTTACTCTATGGTCCAAGTAGTGCCCGACGTACCTTACATAGTTGGGTGGTAATAGATGGACCAGAAGCTTTCCTAAAGTAGAAAGTTATGTTGTTTGATTTGGTGGAGTTTATTTTAATTTTCCATTTACAGAACCTTTTTTCAAAGTCAAACAAATGATTCAGAAAGGCAATAGATGATAAAGTCCATTTACTGTCTAAAACTCATATTGTTGTTTGATATTTATTTTCTTTTTGTTTACACCCCTTCTTAGTCTTTTAAACTATGCGGGGATTTCATCGGGCGCCGAGAAGCGAACAAGTATTTTTTTTTTATAACAGGTCAGCTTCGGTTTACCGGCAGGTATTGCGGAAGATGGGTTGCAGAGTGGCTGTATGGAATAGATAGATGTTTAATCTAATTAAGGAGAATTATTCTTATTGGTAATAGCTATATCGCTGGGTCCTTTAGAATGTGGAAAAACATGGTTTGAAACTAACAAACGCGAAATATACTATATATCATTTAACCGACTATTCACAAATTCCACAGATACAATAACTCTGCGATTCGGTTGTCTATTGCAGCATGCAGGACCTGCGTGGGCAGAAAGTATTGCCGAACGAATGATACTGGGTCCAGAAGGTTCAGGCGACCGTAAATATACGAGGGTTGAAAATTGAAACACCTATAATTATTAGTTATATAATACAATTTTTTTTATCTTTCTTTCCTTCTGCATATGTTGTATCTTGTTTTTTCTGCCCTGATGATGCCTGAATCGTTGGTACGTTAACTTTTTGCCTGTATGTTGGAGAATCATGGCTTTATAGTTTGGATTCATAATGTCTCTTTTTGAGATTTTTACTTATTTTATCAATATCATATAATCGTCACTGTAATAAATATCTGAGCACATTGTAATGTAGCAAACTTTCACCTTTTGTTAAAAGACGAAAACATTTTACTATAGTATAAGTTAAAACATCTGGCTTATTAACATTTTCTCAATAAAGGTTCCCACAATAACCGATGATACATATGTTAAATTCAGGCTCTGAGTATATCATCAACCGACCTTGAGCTAATAGCTGGCTTTCAACAACTGGATGGTCACTTTATAATCGATTTGATGAATAGCTGAATCGATAAATCAGGTGATAGGGAGAGAGAGGGGAGTGATGGGGGTTGGCACCTGTTGCCTTATCACTGGCCCTCGGGCGATATCGTGAGCTTCGTGAGCAATCATGCTTCGTCTCTCTTCGGCAGAGGATGTTATTGTGTTCGTCAGTGGGGTAGGGATCTCGACCTATCAAGAATACCCAAAACAAACACCCGAACTTCACATCTTGTCGTCTCCCTAAACAACATCAATAATGCATCGTGAAAGTAAGAAAATAATTCATCCATTTATGATGAGGAAAATAACCACATAAAGTAGCAGGTTCAGTATTTCATTCCGAATTTTTATTATATGCCAATAAAAATAACACAAAATATTGTAAATACATCTTTCATGGTTACCAGCAGCCATTGTATAGGATTTCTTTTCAAAATAAATTCCAATAATAAATATATTGGAACTCATAATGCAGAAGAGTGTACCTATAATTTGTGATTTGGTTTTGAACTTATGTGATCTATCGTTTCTCACGGCTTATCTAGAAATACAAATATAAAATCTCATTCGTATTTTTTTTAGTTTCCATCCGTAGCCTCGGAGGCTGTATTCGGCCTCTGTGACGTAGTTGCAGCCTCAGAGGCCACATGCGGCCTCCAAAAGTTTTTACGTCATGTTTATTAATGTAGTGATAGAATTAATTAATATATAATTACTTAAGTAACAGCAATATAGAAATTAAGCTGTATGTATGTATATGAGTGTGTGTATTTAGTGATTAATAAAAATAGCAGCGGTAAAATATAAAGCATTATTGCGGCCTCTATTATCAATTCCTAACCTTACTGCGGCCCCTAACAATAAAAATGTTCTTCACCAATGAGCTATACGATTTTTTTTTCGGATCAGAGGTAACAACAGGGAATTCATACCAGAGTTAAAAGGCGCTAGGAAGGTAGTCTCATTCGTAACTTGCCTAACGCTACTGCCAAACATTCAGAATTTAGTGGTTTTTTTTACAGGTAACCTGATTATAATATAGTCAGGTAGTAGTAAATATATGACCATGCGGGTCCAATATCAAGGCTGCAAACGTTAATTTTTTTTTTTTGCCCTTAGTCAACCCTTAATCAAAAGTCAAGCTCCTAGATTGGAGATGTATCTGTGAGTGCTCCTTTATTATTTTCAAACGATAACATATGATCAGGATGTTACGCAAGGAAGATGAGAGCAGCTGAGACCACAGGGATATAGGCGGCACTGTCTTCCAGCTGACTAAAGAAAAATCGTCGCCACCATTGGGTCATCTTTTATTCATGCAGTAGTGGTCTCTTTGTGATTGCAGCACAAACTGGCTGATGTATATTTGTCTTGTGACATATTTGAGAACATTGCTCATTCATATTCATATATTCACTAAAAATAGTAATATATATATATATATATATATATATATATATATATAGATATAGATATATATATACAAAAACTTAACAAAATAGAATCTAAAAAAATTAATCAATAAAGAAATTTTAATACCCATAAAGTTTGAAATTCGCTTGTATCAGATATTGTTATATCCTAAATGCAATTATCACACCTATTGTAACATAAGGTGACCAGACTTTAATATTAGTAAACCAAGACACCATTAACTGGGGGAGTGCAGGAAATTATAAAATTGTACAAAGGTTAATCAAGTGACATAGTATTCATCTGGAATAAGTTAGAGAATTTATTTCTAAGAGCGAATAATTTGATGGTGTATTAAACGTTTAATTTATGACTTCAATAACAAAATGGTTTTTATGACTTAGATATTTTGTGCCAATAGCTAGTACGCATTCAAGCAGCTCTTTTTCAAAATGCTATCAAACTTACAACAAATAGCAAATGAAGCTAATCATCTGATGTCAAATATTTAATCTTTTTCATATTAATATAATGTTTTAATAACGATACCGTATTAAAAAGATCATTCCCTTCTACTGCAGTTATCTGGCCGTGAATTCTTTAAAAAAAAATTGGGACTTTTTTAAAACGTCACGGAACGCGGGAAAAGTCTGGTCTACCAGTGTAAGGTAATAACCAGTGTAATCTAAAAGTGTAAGGTAGACCAGATTTTTCCCGCGTACCGTGACGTTTTAAAAAAGTCCCAATTTTTTTAAAGAATTCAAGGCCAGGTAAATGCAGTAGAGCGCAATGATCTTTTTACACTAGCATCAAATTTTAATTTTAATTCATGGATGAAGTTTAGGTTAAGAAATTTATACCTGAGAGTTGAAACTTTTATGGAATACCATTTCTTAAAATAGTAAGAGATCTAAGAAAATTGTTGTAATAAAATTCTAATTTTAAGGTAAAACTTTAACTTTATCTTATATATGTTCATAAAAACCAAAGTTAAATGAGAAATAAAAAATAATTGATCTTATGAAATTATAAAAAAAATGTTATAATTTATTTTCAATTGATTACTTGAATTTGATCAGCCGTTTGTTTGAATTGCTGATAATGAAAGTCATCTCTATACTCAGAGATCGACAAGATCAGAAGAAAGATCTACAATTTATGTAAAACTTTTATTTAAAAAGTTACAAGGGAAAAAGTTCTGATTTCGATATAACACAAAAAAAAAAATAAAATAAAGATTTTTCAGCCATACCGAAGCTGATTAAAAATAATAATAATAATAAGCCCTGGTTGTAACAATAATAACGCAAAAAGCTCCTTTTGTATGCGTAATTGCAATCATAATTAGCGTTAAAGAATATTAATCGGGACGAAACTGAGTCAAGAGATTCGACCATGGAAGTATGCTGTATTCAGCTTCAAAACTTTAATCCAAGAAATATCTTTCCATTTTTCTTTCAGCCTGTCGTCTCTGAATACAAATATATAGTTTAAGATGTATTTTATATACGAATGTTTTTGAAGGTAGGGGTTACTAAGAGCTACTTCTCGAGTCTCCACCATACCTTCAAGACGCCCTGTTGTTTTCAACTTTTTAGCTAAATATAAATCATTTTCCATTAATTGAAAAGTACAATCTCAATCTTATATTCTCTCTTTACCACTCGAATTCTATTACAGCTAAATATAACGTGATATTTTTCCTTTTTCCCCAACCATATAGGTACTCAAGTAGGAGGCGAGAGATTAATTTCAGGAACTTCAATAAAGGTAAACAAATTATAGTAAAAATATATAACAATGGCTCTTTTTAAGTGAAAACAAATTTTAAATTAATCAAATCTCAGCAGGAGTACCTCAAGGTTCAGTACTCGCTCCACTACTCTATATCACATACACCCATGACATACCTTGTAGTCCCAACATTTTAACAGCGACATATGCAGACGACACAGCAATTTTAGCGAGACAAAAAAATCCAACATACGCCTCACAGATCCTACAACAGTATTTAACAAGATTACATAACTAGTTCAAAATTTGGAAAATCCGACTAAATCAAGACAAATCACAGCACATCACATTTACGCTTCGACATGAAACATGCCCTCCAGTTTTCCTTGACAATACACAGATTCCACAGACAGACACCGTTCACTACCTTGGTCTGACATTTGACAGAAAAATGACGTGGGACCCACATATAATCAAAAAACGAAAAACTTTAAATCAAAGATTAAGAATTCTGAGTTCACTTCTTTCAAAAAATTCAAAACTATAACTTAGACAGAAATTGAATACATACAATTACTTACTAAAACCTATTTGGACTTACGCATCACAGATATTTGGAACTGGTAAAAAGACTCACTTAAACAAACGTCAAATCTTTCAAACAAAAACATTCAGAACAATTACAAAAACACCTTGGTACGTTAGCAACATAACCTTACATACTGACCTCCATATGCCGACTGTTAACGAACACATACGTACTCATTACAAAAGATTCCATGACAACTTACAAGGACATCTTAATACACTTATTAATGACATGGCCACTAAGAATATGCCAGGTAACGTCTGTAGAAGACTGAAGAGGAGCTGGATGAGGGATCTCCTCGCCTAATGTAGATATCACGCCGAGTGAGGTGCCGCTGGGCACTGATCCTCCTCATGCCTTTCATGACAATTCTATTAATCAATCGATCTCACATTCACTGGTTGTCATTAGCATTATGACAGGTGTGAATAAAACATTAAAGCTAAAAAAAAAAAAAAAAAAATTAATCAAAATGTTCAAGCAATTCAAAATGGTATAATTGAAAAATCAGTAGTTATTTCACCAGAACCTTACATATCATCCAAATCCTCTTGCCAATCCCTATCAAGCACCATCATCCCTATAAAGAATGTTAAAACGGTAGTCGACCCACGACCTTTTGTAGTTTATATAAATTAGAGTTCTGGCAATGAACAGATTCTGCACTCAATATGTGGCTGAAACGCTCTTGATGATCCTCCAATGGCTTTAACACCAGTGAAGCGGTTGATGGAGTAGCGCAGGGATCTCGTGGAGTCCTGCTTTTTCCTCTATAATTGGAGGAACAAGGCAGCCCCGGAGTTCCCTCGCCTGATTATATATAATGTATATAGATATGAATGTGATCTTTTTTTTGTTATCTGTAATTTACTTATCTTTAAGTTATTTTATTCTATTTATTGTAGATATTTTTTGATTAGTATTTAGTTATTTTGTTTCTGTATATATATATATATTTTTTTTTTTTTTTTGTACATATTGTGTGAATGTTATCTTACCTCCCTATGTCCATGCGACAGATTGTTATATTATTCAATAAAAAAAATTATTTAACCTCAAAATATCTACAAAGTTCTTCCTTAACTTTTTTTTTCAATACTAAAATAAGTAGAATTTGCAATATATTTATCATACAATTGAAAAAAAAAAAGACTACCTTATATCATAAGGTGCCTTTGCTAAATTAAAAAAAAAAAATTTTAATAAGTGGATAATAGCAAAAACATTTTCATTTTCAATGTTAATAGAAACAATATATCTGAAACATTGCGTGACATAATCTTCCATTCATTGGCGTGTAGGATCTTCGCCGTCTTGTGTCCAACATTTACAACCTGTAAGTAACACTTGCGTTTCACTGAGGGTCATTTACAGTTTTATTACATACTTACTTAGCAACGATGGCTCGTTGTTATTACCCTACACGATATTCATGTCTCATATTCTATTCTCCATTTGGTGTCAATCTGGTCACAATTTATGGCTGAAGTGATTAATCTGCTAGTAACTTGTGCAAGACAAATGCGATCTTAGAGATAAATAAACTGTCTATGATCCTATCAATGTTTTGTCCAAACTTGTGGGGATGAGTTGTATTGAATTCTAGCTATATTAAATTCGTCTAATATTCGCAAAAAATAATTTATATAATATTTCTTATTTCGTTCTAAACGATATAATAATGTAGGAGTGATAAAAGATATTTAGACTGACAGAGATACGTGGAAGAAAATGGATTATGAATTACAACTTTAATGACACTTACTATTAATTTTTACGATTAGTCAACACGCCCTCTATTGCAAGGCGAACTACCAAATGCCGTTGTAAAATCATTAAAGTTATATAAAAAAAAATCATACTCAGTTGTAATTGGTATTTCATAACAAATAAATCCAACCCATCAAATTAGTAACATATTTTATACCAGCTATGCAAGAATTTATAATCACAAATGTTGTGTATTTTTATAGATATTGCTTTACTTCTATCCTTGTTAATTTTTCTTATGTTGTTGCTATTTATCTATTTATAAGTTTTGATAATTAGTTTCTGGAAATAGACTTTTTCTATCTTTGATAACTAATCTTTTATTTTTATAAGCAATGCATAGATATTTAATATTTGCCATTACAGCAATTAAAATGTAAGGCTAAAATTCAGCTGATCTCATTTCCTATCCCTGAAATTTTAAAAACATCCAAGGGAAAATATAGATATTTTCATTAATATTTATATATATCTTTGTATAATAACAACAATAATGAATAAAATAACTAATAAATATCGATATTTTTATTGATATTTCAAAAGATTTATTTTACTTAATTAATGAAATTTACAACTGTATAAACTAGTACAACTAGTAAAAATGCACACATTGGAAATAATGACATGAACAGACTTGAAGAGTCCCCAGTGGTAGCACTCCCTATTTAATTCTAGGTGAGAAGATCACGTGGCCATCTTGTTTTCAGACGCCTAGGGGGATTATCAGAAATCGAAGAAGAAGCAAGGCTGGAAACAAACGGATTTGGATGGGACTGGAGTTTATCATGAAAGGATAGGTATCTGGCTCGGGCTACATCTGCAACATATGGAACATTAAGGTCTTTATGATTGGTTTTATTTGTGACAAAATATGGGGCATAAAGGATTTTACGAAGGATTTTGGATTGTAAGGATTGGATACGATAGGAATTCGATGGTTTGGTAGAACCCCAAAGCTCAACTCTGTATGTTAAGTAGATGAGTCTTTTGTAATTAATTGAAAGTTTAGAGCGTTTGTCTAGTAAGTGTTGGAGCAGTCGGAAAATTTCAAAAGATCAATCTATATTTCATAACAATCGATGATATACATATCGTTAGCATTGTTTAATTTCCATGTTTCTTCCCTATCCAAAGTGATAAAATATTGAGGTCGGATATGTCAATATATCAATATATTTTTTCGGTATTAACATTCCTTAGTTTTATAATTTTGATTTCTGTTATTTTTTAATATGTTACATGAAAATTTTTTATTTACAAAATCTTATTTAAAAAGAAAATATTTCGTTCTTTACGACCGAAATATGAGAAAGATTTGTAATACAATAATACCAATGCAGATAAATTGAGGTATAAACATTGTTGGAGAACTGAAGACCTAATCTTTTTTTTTCAAAACCATACTAAAAGATAATTTAATACTTCCTGACTATGAATAGTGACTTTGGATGAGGTGAAGTATGGTGGCTATATCCTGTACCAAACTGAATACTCAACCAGCTCTTCGTTCAGTCCTAGCACGTACCTCTTCCTCTTCCGACAAAGCTTCCCTTTCGATAACAATTGCATTTTATATTTAAATCCATTGAATGGTTATTAGCCAACCAGGACGATGGTAACTATCTGACCTTTGTATTCAATCTCAGTCAAGAATATATTTGAATACTTAAAAGAATTGGAAACTCGCTCAACTGTGGAGGCATGGCCGAAGATAGGTCGGAGAGTGGCTGCATGGAATAGATAGATGTTTAATCTAATTAAGGAGGATTATTCTTATTTATAATAGCTATATCGCTAGATTCTAGAATTGGGAAAAAAACAGGGTTTGAAACACATAACTCGAAATCTACCTTAAAGCATCTGACCGAATAGTAACTAACTCTTTCATCCGGTCGTTTATAGCTGCATGCAAGTCTTGCATTGATTGGAAGTACCGTTAGCATGGTAGGGTTGAAAATTGAAACATCTATAAATTATTATTAGTTTTATTATAATTTTTCTCTATTATCATGTATTAACACACACAGATAAGTAGATATATATATTTCAGTCTTGGAATATGGCTGCATGTTCTATATTACCTAAAATGTGTCATGAATAGTAAAAAAAAAAAAATATAATATAAAATATAACAAATAAACAAAAATTAAATTAAACAAATAAATAAAATTTATTGAAATTAATCACTAAAACGTGATTAAAATACTGAAATACGTGTCAGTTTAAGAGCTAAGAAAAAATAATAACATTTTTAGAAATAAACTAGATAAAAGGAAAAAGAACTAACAAACCATTTCAAGGAATATTTGATTACAACTAGCTACAATTAGAAATAATAGCCATGAAACTGAACATAATTTTTTCCTGGCCCAAACAAAGAGCTGCCTGTAGAACCTCTACAATATATCTTGAGCCCACTCCAATAAAGACTTCAGGGCAGTCAGCAGCGATCGATCCTCGAGCAACAGATCGCATCCAATTACCAAGTCACTGTCGAGATGTGAACTGTCTCTCTGTCACGGGTCGGTTGAGTCACCTAACAGTAACGGTTATTTAGTAACTGCTACGTCATCCATGACCTTGAGCTCAACATCTGGTCAATACATATTTTATAATAAATACCTCATCTAAAACCTTACTAAAACTTACCTACATATTGTAAAATGCTTAGCTATCCAATTTGGTATTATTTTATCTATTCAACGTTTATTTTTTAATATACAGAAATATCCTTTATTGTTGTAATATATTTTTTTTTGTGGTCATCTCCTAATTATTCAAATATAAATATTATTAAAAGAAATGTTCACGATCGTAATACTTACTCTTACTATATATTAAATATACAGAGAAGTGAAAGTAAAAATTGCAATTAATGCCAATATGATCATTATCATACTTAAACTTTATATAGCTCTGAGGAGTATGAGGTTGTTTTTTATAGAGCTGCTTACAAGTGGTTTAGTCCACAGTGGTCAAATTTCAATATACTTAATCGAAATGTGTTCTCATTGATATTTTAAAATAAAATCAATCAATACATACATATTAAATTAAAAAATATTAAATAATCTACGTAAGTTTCGAGAATAATTTATTGTAGCGGAACATTTTTAGAATAATATGAATATGAAATCAAAATATAGTTTGCAATAAAACAACTAAATGTTATAGCAACGATAACCAAATAGCAAACCCAGCGTTGAAGTCACTGAGGTGACGATGAATACACAGAAAAAAAAAGAACCTTTTATAAATTTTTATGCTTTCGCTAATATTCTTATATAAAACTCAAATATCTGAATTAATACTTTCTTTATCTGATTTATAAATGAATTTGAATTCGCACAGTTTATTGTATCTCATAAAATTAATAAACATCAAATTTAACATAGAATATTAGAATATTTAAAAAGAACAAACAAGCGTTATTATTTCTTTTTAAATTATTTAAAGACAAACTCTGTAAAAATTAAAAAAAACAACTAAATTTCACTAAAAATTTACCAATGAGGTTACATTAATGGACAAGTAAATTCTCAATATGACAGAGTTATAAATAAGGGTTTTTCAGTATTTTATATATTTTTTATTTTTACTTTTTTAGTTTTTCCAAGCATTGGCAATTTATATCGTCATGTTATGATATAAATCCAACAAAAATTAAGAATATTTACAATGTATAATTTTTTTTTTTTTTTAGTATTTTTATTGTTGCCCAAATGCAAAAGTAACTTGACAATACATTAAAGGCATTGTGAAGGATAGTGATAGACCTCATCTTGGAATAGAAGGGTTGCAAAGTAAATCTATTATACTGATATTATGGCACTAATTATTTAAATAAAAAATCAGGTGAGTCCACTCATATGGCTTTCCTATCGATTTAAAAAAAATATTTTCAATTTGAAATATGTTCATTAAAAATGACACAATTAAATTAGACTAATTTTCCTAATTACCGATCAGAGAAATCATTAGAATACGATTTCTTCGATAAACTAAAGCTATGTAAACGGACAGGTGAACAATTATTAAAATCAGTATATAAAATTCAATAAAATGTAACGTTCAGACGTCAAACTGGTCTGATTTTGACGGTTTTTTTTTTTTTTTTTTTTTTAATGGTTTTTTTAGTTCTATCACTTCTTTACATATAGTAAGTAAAATTCTGAGACTCTGGAGTTAAGGACTGTATATATTAATATTATATAAGTATATTATTAATAATAATAACTAAAATTGTCTAGTATTAGTAACTATTTTAACTTAATTTGTATTCACAAAAACGATTTCCTTTTCTTTACATATATATATATACGTCTTAATATGGGTCTTGCAACAATTAGCTGGCCTTGATCTTGGTCAAGACCATTCTGTCAAATTCCAATCTTTTTACAGCTCTCGTTGAATCTCAATGAATAACATCAGCTGTCAAGCTGTTCGCTCGAAAATCGTTACATACCATTAAACGGACCGATTAAATAGATTGTATTCAATAATTTTTCAGTTCCCATCGTTTTATAATTCTCGAGGTATCATATTCCATAAGTAATCAAACTTAAAAAGCTCTGAACGCTCAAAAAGTGTTAGTACCTAAAAATAGCAAACTTAAAATACATTATCCTTCATCTGGCTTTGCCAAAGTCCGGTAAATAACTGTTCATCGTTTTGTATATTTTTGATTACTCAAAGAAAGAATATAGACAATGTAAATCTGGAACTCCTGTTCTTTAAATGATTCTTCTCCATAGTCTTAAGAAGGGAGTTACATAGGGTTACATTACAGGGGGTTGACCTGCGGGTTATATTGAGAATAACATTAAGTTTTGGGGCCACGTCTTGGGACCATAATTACCGTTCGAGGGAATAAATAAGACAAAAACTGGTGATAAAAAATAAATAGCATAATTATTAATAAATTAAAAATAAAACTGCAGGCACTACTCGACTACTACGGCACGGGTTCGATTCCCGCATGGAGTATCGCGGTAACGTCCCAACCCTGAGATTCATAGAGAGGTGAGCGACCCCTGTGTCTTTCACTATAGCTCCTGGTCTTCCAAGTTGGGGGTTGGGTATAGGACTGATAATCCCCTATCCCTTAAAAAAAAAACTGGGTGGAAAATTGAAGCGAAAGATTTCCAACCATCATTCAGGAAAGTTTCTGATGAAGACGGAATGAAATGTGACCGCTTCCGGTCAGTAAACTACGTGCTCCCTGGATATCTCGAAGAAGAGAGAACTACTACCACCTATAACATCCCCAAGCTGCTGAAGAAGACTCATGACTTGAAAAGCTGAAGTCAACAGGAAGAAAAAAAAATTTCAATTACTTTTTTTTATATATTTTTCCATGTAACCGAAGAAACTTTCATAATCCAATGTTTGGAGACGTCTTTAACTATACGAACAATTGAGATATGTATATAAATTTAAACGAAATTTATTGATAAAATTCTTCTAGAATCAGTTATTAAGAGGGCTATGGAGATATTCTCTAATGCCATACAACTTCCTGTCGTATAAGCCATGGTTTCGGAGGGCCTATACGTTTCTAATATCCTGTTATTACAAGTATAACTAGAGCGAGGTAGCATTATATCAAGTTTTCGCCAGAGAAATCTCATTGGTCTGTAAACAAGTGGACCAGAATGAAAAAGCTAGCTTTCAATTGAACGGACTACTCTAAAGGCGTTGATTATTTTCCCTCGGAGGTACGTGCCCTGGAAGAGACTTCCAATGGAGCGCTCTCCGTTCGGGGGTCGTGCTCGTTAGGAAGGCGTGAAGCAATAATTATCGTAACTCCTTTGGCTGGAGGACTGCCCCATTGTCCGCTCCACAAAGGAGTCGCTCCTATTGTGGACCGATCGGGTCCTTGGTTCAGCTCAGTCCGGCCTTCTGGTCCCACTATCTCGGGCAGCGGAATGTCATGAGCGAGCGAGGCGGACAAAGGAATCTCCGGAGAATGGATGCGGTGCACATGGAGGAAATGTTACAGTAAACATAGCAAAGTAATAATATTTATCGATGTTCTGGGCTGTGTTTTATTGTAAATAACTATCTTGAAGGAGATCCTTGGTAAGATTGAAACTAAAGGATGTTGATAAAAGTTTGAAAAAAGAAACTAAATAATAAATTTTGAATTTCATGAATATATAAAATGTAGTCATGAAAAATCGCATATGATAATTATAACTATTAATAAACCCAATGTGAATAATAAGAATTTAAGCAGCGATTTTCGTGAAGAATTAGTCAAAGGCAAGCATTTTGAAATCTATATTTCAGATTCAATTTTGAGATTTTTTAAAAATTAAAACATTTCTTTATTGACTAATATTACATTTTGTCACATTTAAGGACATTAGTGATAATGATAGAGTAGCTCATTCACACAATAAAAAATAATAAATTAAACACCAAAATAATAATACTAAAAGTATTTTTTTTATATCTTTTTATTGAGAAATAATACATTTTGCCACACTTAAGGGCACTAGGTAGTAAAGGTGAGTGAGGCCTATTCATACCATATATGCAATAAAATAAAAAAATAAAATAAATAATTAAAAATATATATATATACATCTATATAACAAAGGCAAAAACTATAATAAACCAAGGAAATGTAACTTAAGTTAAAATTAAATAAAATACAGAAATTCATAGCAAAATTACATAAATTATAAGAAAAAGAAATAAATAGATAAAAAAAAAGATTAACAGGAAAAACATTCATAATACTAAAACATAACTTCCGAACCAAGCCTTTTCCCCCACTCGTGAAAGGAAAGGCAGGACTCCAGGAGATCCCAGTCCCTTGAGCTCATCCGCATCACTGAAATATTAAGGATATCATTAAAGAAGAAGTGTTGAGATTCATGGCCCATTTGTTCATGCAAAATAAATTTTCATATAAGCACTTTATGATTACTAGACA